TTCTCAGCTTGGGAACTGAGTTAACAGAAAACCAATGTCAGAGTGTGTGTGTGCTGTTTTGGAGGCGATGAAGCAGGATGCAGCCAGCACATTGAGATGTGAATGTGAGTTGAGTGAGTGCGATTCTTTCCAAAGAGATCCCCGGTTTGGATGGCAGAAGAGGCTAGCTTGCACCTGCCCAGCTTGCCCTGTGCCAGGACATCGTTTGATTGGTATTCATCTTGAGAAGATCTTGAATGAGGCGCAGTGGTCAAAAGGCAGAACACTCTCTTGGATTCGTCACTTTCTATTGGATGATCATGATGACCAGATAGATTTGGCCACTCCAGCTACCCTATGTTAGCCTTGTCCCAGGAAGATTTCGAACACAATCTTCGTGCAACGATTCGCCGGGGAAATTTCCTGTTCGACATCAAGGGATGTCAGGGCGTTGTTTTGCGATGGCGTGATCTCTTGTCATGACCACAAAAGACCCGAAGAAACATCTGGGTTCCTTTAAAGATCCTGAAAGAGATAATGGAGGGAACCCTTGACATTGTTTCATCATGTTTCATCCATAATGGAAGGCGTTTCTTGGCAGTGTTTCTGAATGGGCCTTGCCCGAGTCCGCCAGGAGCCGGGCATGGTGGCATCCCTGGGAGGTCGCGTGGGCCATGCGGTGGACAAGGTGCCACGATGGAGAAAACGGCACAGACTCAGTACTTGGCAGTCGCTGATTTTGGATGAGGGATATGTGGAAGCCAGCAGCTGGTCTTTTTTCCCGTATTCATTGGCGTAGTTGTTTCATGAGAATTTGGGTACCCACCTCACATGTGGCAGGTCCTTCAGGATCCTTCTATCTATTTTTTTAAAAGAGACCTCAAATTCCGCTCTTGGGATTGGATCTCTGCCCTCTTTCCTTTGTGTTCGCCGGTGTCCACCAGCTTCACGGCCAGGTCTGGCTCAAATTCAGGGATGGGTCCCTGCGCGAGTATGGCAACTCAGAGAGAGGTGCGGCGCTCGGAACGCGGCCGAGACCGTGCCGTCGGAGTGCTCGCTTCAGCCGAAGACGGAGCGACCGAAAGCATGGCAGGAGTGTAGGGAATGAATAGGAATGAATGATATAGAATATAGACCCCCAAATAGATAGAAAAGTAGATCCCCACTAAAGATGTATTGGACATGTTTCTATCTGTTTGATTCTATTTTTGGAGCACTTTGAGTTGTTAACGTGAGAATGTCAACATTTAACCCTTGTAGCTGAAATGTATGGAGGAGTCGGCCAACTCCTTCAGCTCTCTCAAGACTCTAGACTCCATACAAATTTGTTTGGAGGTAATAACTGGCATTGTAGACCAACGGTTTCCATTTTTGGTTTATTTCCACTTTCAGTAACAGCAACAATACCAATAATGAGCGTGCATACAATGAAGTTCTCCATGCTCTTTGGCAAGGCCCTCTCAGAAAGATCAAACCCCTCACTGAAGTCTTCGCTAGCTAACATGTGAAACTGCTCGGTCATGTCATGAGACGAAATGACAATCATCCACAACACCAAGTTATTTCTGCACAACTTAGGGCGCCTGACGCGCGTAGAGATGGATCCCCTCGTCAAAGTTGGACGACAGAAAACATGCGCAGCAACTCGTTTTGACTGAGCCTTTTTGCGTCAGAGTCTTTATGTGCTCAAGCTCCTCTTTCACTTTTCATGAACTACTTACTCTTTGTGAACAAATTCCTGTTTGCGAAAGCACTCTGTGTGATGAGCCTCTTTGGGACTAAGTCCCCTGTATATTCTTCTTCACACTACGCGAACAAGCTGCTCTTTTGTGACATCACTCTTTGATCGGCGCTTCCGACTGACAACTTTTTTTTACTTGAAATCTGATTTATCCTTTTGTGAGCCTTGTGGTTACCTCATTTGGCAGTCCTACGTTCTTTTTTTTCACCTTCAATTCAACAGGGTGTGGCCAGCAGCCACTTGTCTCACCCCGACAAAGGTGGCTTTGAACAAACACAGTTTAACATGTCTTAGTTTTGTTCTGTTCCGAGGATATCCCAAGGATGGACATCACTTGAATTCAGGTATATATGACCTTGCTTTAACCTTGCTTTTCTTGCATCAAACACCTTATTCACGTCGCCCAACACATTGAAGATGTCTTTTTTTTCACATACCAGGTGTGGACCAAGGCCCTTGGGCCTTGGAACCTGGGGAACACATCAACGCCGTAGAGCAGGCTGGGTTTGCATGCGCGCTGGGGCGGGTTTGCACACGCCGAGTGAGCAGAAAACCGGTTTGGCCGTTGGAGCTTTGTTTAGCCGCCGGTCTTGCTTTTTTTAAACTGTCTAAGGGTGTAAGCTCAGACCAGAATGGGCTCTGTGTGCATTGCTTGCTCCTTGACTTGTGTTTTAACAGCCATCCTGGCTTAAGGGACACTGTGCCAAGTCCCCAGAGGCGGCACGGGCTCCGGCATGCACAGCCCTCGTGTCATGCAGACACGGGGAGCTGCCTTTGCACCTGCTCTGGTTCTCGCAGTGCTGGGTGGGCTGATGATGATGTCGGCTGACAACTTCATGTCTGCCTTTGTGCCCCCCGTCACCGGGGCCCGGCCCAGAGCATCCTTCCAGATGCCGGAGGAGGTGTTGGCACCCGTCTCCCCTGTGCCAACAGCTCCTATCTTCACAGCTGTGGCTTTGGCAGGATGCTTGGCAGCCAGTCTTCGCCTGGTGAAAAGGCATTCCGGCCGGGCATGCCGCGCACACTTGGTGCAGCTGAAGGCAGCATCGAGCGAGGAGAAGGAGAAAGACAAAGATGAGGAGGTAGATGAAGATGATGATGACGAGGAGGAGGAGGAGGAGGAGGAGGACGATCTAGATGAGATCGTGATGGAAGACGACGATGAGGATGACGAAGACGATTATGAGGATGAAGATGACGACGATTTCGAGGCTGACGATGATGACATTGTGTACGGTGAGGACGAGCTGGACGACAGCTTCTTCACGACTGATGAAGGGGGGGGAGGTCGTCGAGGCCAAATGCCGGGCCAGGTTCTTGAAAGGCTCTCCTTGGAAGTTCCGCCGTGTTCTTTGGCAGATTCGCGGGAGGTCCTATCGGGAAGCTTTGATGCTCTTGGAGTTTATGCCTTGGAGAGCCTGTCGCCCAACCTTGGTCTGCCTTCAATCAGCAGCTGCAAATGCTCAGAACCACTTCAATATGGACAAATCCAGGCTCTATGTCTACCGCTGCCAGGCAGAGCGTGGGCCTTATTCCAAGCGCATGAGGCCCATGTCCAAGGGACAACCCCATGCGTACCGCAGACGCAGCACTCACTTGGAGATCATTGTCCGGGAGATGTCGGACGAGGAGATGATGAAGCGCAAGGAGTTTGCCTGAGTAGCATCTCGGCCTTCCGCAGGGAGCACGTTCGCGACAGAAAAAAAAAACAAAAACAATGAAAAATATATCCTGAAACAGGGCCTGTGCCATGTGCTCAACAGTGATGAATCGGAAAGCGTGGATAAATTCTTTTGTGTTAGGTCAGGTTTGCTCAACATCTCATGTGCAGAGACATGGATAAGGGCCTCCTTTGGACCAGTTTTGACATGACTTTGCGCCTTTGATGTCCTTTTCAGCTCATAATTTCTTCCAGTCAGTCAAGCTGATGGCCTCAAGTGTCAATTCCTGATCACCAACATTTGCCGCAGTTGTGCCGGGATGCCTTCTTGGGAACGTCGCTGGCATTCTACACCTCTGCGGGAAGCATTTTTTGCCTCAAGGGTATGGAGGACTGGAGGGCGTTGACCGTCGGTGGAGGCGTTGATTTCACATACATGACAGTTTCAGCATGTGTCAGCTTTGATTGTTCTTGACTGTGCATTTCTGCGAGACAATTCGTTCAAAACTTGGGCTTGAAGACAAAGCAGGGAGGTAGAAGAGGCAGCTTCGAGTTATCAAATACTATACTGTAATTGGTACCTTTCCATCGTTTGACTCACTCAAGAAAAATAGTTACTGGATCAACCGATGTACAAGCTCTCCTTTCGCCATCCTGCTGGGGACGCTCGCCGACTCCTTCCGGGTGGTTCCCCACCCCGCGCAGCCAGGCCTTCGGCTCCCGACGCTTCGCGGCCATGCCGGGGAGGCAAATCTGCGGACTCTACTTCGAGGCCCGGATCCTGCCGCAGGAAGTGATGTGATGCGGCGAGGGCGGGGAGTTGAAGACGGGCAGCTCGGTGAAGACGGGACCCAGAAGGCTGTTAGGGTGATGGTTCTAAAGTTGCATTCTTGGGCCGATGGTGCAGTGTTCGGCGTGTTTCAAAGACCCAGAAAACAGCGGAGGTGGTTGATTTCCGGGTTTGCTTTCTCTTTGGAGGTGAGAGGCCCAATCAATTTGTAGCAAATCCATGCAAATCCATCAAGCAACTAGGTGCCCATGTCAATCTTCCTGCGATAGGCACTGCCGTGGGTTTTCACTTCTTTTCACCATGGCCACGATCAGTGGAAAGATTGAGGATATATTTAGATATATTAACCAAACGGTTCGACTCTTTCGAGCCACATTTTAGATCAAAACCCACTGGTTGGGTGTCTCCCCATCAAAATGCACACCAATTTTTCTTTCTTTCTGTCTTTCTTTCTTTACAAACATTTTCCATTTAACTAACTTGTAAACCCTCTCTCTCTCTCTCTCTGTCCTCTCGCTCTGTCTGTCTGTCCGTCTGTCTCCTCGTCCGTCTCCCCGGTCCACTTACTAAGACAGGTCTCACTTCCTCGCAGCTCTCCGCCGTCTGTCTCGGGTGCAAAGACCTTCCGCTGCGCGCCGATGACAGGGCAGCATGATCTCGACCGTTGACACGTGCCCCGATGCCCGGGTGCCCGGGTCCCATCGCGCGCTTCGCATCCTCCGATCCCTGATCCGACCCAACACCGAAGCAGAAAGCCCGCCGCCAGCAGAAAGCCATTCCCTCCCCAAGTCAGCGACACAAAGAAGCTTCATCCGTTCAACCTTAGTTGGAGCCACAGTGGCTGGTCTTGAGTTGAAGCACACAGTTGCGTGTCTTTGATCGAAATGCCACCGACATGTTTAGCCCTAACGGCCCTAACGCCCTAACCGGGCCCACGACGGCCACATCTCGGATGGTGCATGCGTTCATCCACGGGGTTTGTAGTTGGAGAATATCCGAGACATGTTTGCCGGTTTCTGAGTTCGTTTACTAGAGGGCTGACATGAACACTCCGAATCTTGGACAAGAGGCCCATGACTTCCCAACCAGTCATCTGGTTGGTGCTGCATTGCCCAGGACGGGAACTTGAGTGCCTGCAAGACCCACCGCTTGGTCCTTTAACTGAAGGGCCCTACACGAGTCTACTTGCCGCCAAGCTCTTAGTTCGTGAACTGGAGGGCTGTACAGTGCTGTACTTGCCACGCCGCTACTCCTTTGGATGAGCAATTGTTTTGCATTCTTTGATCGAAGCCAGATCTCTAGACTTGGCTGTTCGAGCCGTTTTTGCCAGAGGAAGACCTGTATACTGCATAGAATTCTACTCAAGACACTGAACAGCCAAGTGGGGGTGGCTCAAGAATCCTGCGCTCAAAGCCCAAGCCCTTGAAGTGAGGAGGAAGATGAGACCAAAGTTTGAGAGCCACACCCAAAGGATTTGAGCTTCAATGCCACCACAAGCTTGTGGCATGCCTTGAACCCCAAGTTCTTCTTCGGTGCCTCACCATGATATGAGGGTCGTTTCGTTGGACTGAACATCCTCGCTTTGTTGAACAGATCCTTTCAGCCAAGCTGTGTTGATTGTCTTAAGGGCAAAGATGTGTGACTTTTGCGTCACCAGCCCTCAGCATGTCGCCGGCCGTTGAGAACGAAGACTTGTTGGAGCCTTCTAATCCACCGCCGGGGCACGGTTGGGAAGAGTGGGTGAGCACGGCGGCGGTGGAATCGGCGGCGGAATCGTCCTTTGTGTTGGTTTTCGTTTGCATCATATGAAGAGCAAAGATGAGCAGTCTAGTCCAGTCACTGTAGACCTGGTTCACAAGATGTACTGTAATGGCTTTGCCTGCCCAGGGCATTTTGGCCCTCCGCTGTCTTAATCCATGATTCCCATCACGCTGGAGAGAAGGGCCTTCTGATTGGGTGCGGATGGAATCCGGGGTTCCCCTGAGGCACCGATCAGTTGATTTCGATCCATTCAGGTGTGGAGTCAAAGAAAGAAAGACTTTCCAAAGATCCGGGTTTTTGGAATTCCCAAGGGGCACAAAGTTACAAGAATACCAAATCCATTGGTCTGGAGTCAGCCCTATTTGAATAAATAGACATCCATTTATTTCAGATTCCATCGGAAGGCCCAGATCTTAACAAGGCGAACATGCCTTGCAGCGTGGAACACGGCAACAAACCGTAGACTGAGGCCCCGACCGATCTTGTCGACTCGCCAAAGGTGCAAGAGACAACGGATGATTTCAATAGAACAAAAGCTGCAATGCTTTGCACGGGGATCATCACCGAACCGCTGTGCCACTGTGCGATACTCGCTCAATGGTTTACAGGACACAGGAAACAGGGATGATCACAAAAGGGTTTTGTCTTGGACTAGAGTGACTAGACCAAATAGTAACAAGGGCATCGCTACTAGTAACAAGGGCATTACTACTAGCAGCAAGGACGCTACTAGTAGCTAGGGCATCACTACTAGTAACAAGGGCATTACTAGTAGCAAGAAGCTACTAGTAACAAGGGCATTACTTGCAGTAACAAGGGCATTAGGCCCCAGGCAGAAAGATGAAGACTCAGTAGTTGCCGAGCCCCTCCATGTTTGAGACACATCCATACACCGAACTATGCGCTGGGACACACCACACCTTTGAACAAGATTGAAACTACATTATTCGCAATTCCATCGCAACAAAGTAGAGCAGCAAGTCGCGTTCTCAATTTGGATGCTTTTGTGTCAACTCTGAGTTTCCTGCTCAAAGCTTCATGCCTTTAAAGCACATCAGCAGTGATAGTGATATGATATCAACATGTCCTTCCCCAACAAATCACACCAACCAGGATAAACATTTGGTATCCACCAGGTAAACCGGGTAGTAAACCGTCCGGATCCAACAGTTGTGTTCCCGTCTTCTAAGCCGTACGTCACCGCGCACGTGACCCAAACGAGTCGGCGAAGGGGATGTCGGCGCAGGAGTGATCAGACGTCGGGGAGGCTACGTCCGTAACAAGGGCATCGCTACGTCCGTAACAAGGGCATTACTACTAGTAGCAAGAAGCTACGTCCGTAGCAAGGTGCCTTACTAGTAGCAAAGGGAAAGTTCATTTGATTCACTCCACCAGTCCGACCAGCCGAAGTGGAGGGTCTTCCAGGTGGGGACCCACTATAGGATCCTGGGGAGGGTAGTTTAGGACTTGCAAGTCTTCTTCTTCCAGGTGACCACCACTGCTCCAAAGAAGACACGAGCAATTTACAAAAACAACGACCGCACGATAAACTATGAGGTGATGCCCTTTCGTGCCCGAAACCATTAGCGATGAATCTCACATGTGACGGATCAAGTGGGTAAAAGGGCAAACATGGAGGGCATTGTGGTTTTGACCCACTGCCGCTGCCTCATAGCTTGGTGTCCCAGCAGATACTGCCTTGGCGGTCTGGGTGTCGTCAGCTCAGCTCTGAGTGTGTCCTGCGAAGGACCTGCCACCTGCGAAGAGGCCTGTCGAGGAGGAAGATGATGAGGAGGAGACACAGGTGTCTGCGCTGGAACGAAGAATCCGCTGTGCTGGTCTTCAAGTAAACTCATGGCCCTACAATTCCCTACCAAACGTGTAAACTTTTTGTTGCTAAAGAATGGGCAAGGACTGTGCGAACTGCCAGGAAGCAGTTTGGAAGATGCAAAAATAGCAGGGTCGAGCAGTTTCGGTCTCTGTGATATTCTTTTGGGGGACTGGGCCGGCCTGAGATAGTAATGTTGCGGTCCTGGTGCAGATTTGGTCACCTCCCTGCTGAGATGAACAGGGCGAAGGGCTCTTTTTGAGCCAACAGCTTGGCTGGGCAACACACCCTGGGCTTGTCTTTCGATCATTTTTTAAAGATCGCTCCCATTCCCTGCCAGTTTTGGGGGACACATTCTTAATCCAGATGGTGTTGGATTTGTGGTGCCTCAGCGCCCTGAGGACTGACTTGGGACGAAAACGTCGACGTGTGAAGAGACTGGACTCTGGTCCATCTCTTTCTCATCTCTTCTGGTTTCTTGACCCGGCTTGTTGAGGTGATTGTGCTCCCAGCTTCTTCTAGAACATGCTTTCTTGATGTGGCATATTGATTTGTGAGGTGAAAAAGAAGAAAAGGGCTGAGGAGGTGCCACAGCGCCAGGGCCTTGGAACTTGGTGTTTGGATGGCTGGAGGGACTCTTTAAACTGTTTACAGTCTTTTTGCAAACGTAGCCTTTGTTTAGGTTCTTGACTGCAGGATGGGACCGTAGAACCTACTCTGTGTAGGACGGATGCCTGGGCACTAGACTCTAAACGGTGAATGCCAAGACGGATTGGCCACTCCCCGTGTCAACTCTGGGCCCGAATCGTCCGTCGTTTGGTCAACTCTGGGCGAAGCTGGGCGAGTAGGATGCAATCTCAGAGAGATGATCAGAGCCACTCGCAGGCATGGACTGCCCATACCTCGGTACGATCAACAGGCCGGAGTCTCGAAGGTGTTGGAAGGGATCACCGTGGAAAGTGGAGCATGCTTACAGCTTCAAACACTGAGAATCGGATTGGACATGATTGGACAACATCTATGGTTTGGGTCGGCCCCCCCTAGTTGGTTCAGAATGGAAAGAGGTTCGCGTGTGCAATTGCAAACTACACCATAACCATAAGTTCGGTTATGAGTTCGGTTGAATGAGTCACTGCTCCACGCAAGCCTGTACCCTGTGTTGCAAGCACAATCGTTCTATCATGTTATATGGCATCCCATATTCAAATTGACATCGTCCATGAACTTCAAGCCACTCACTTGCCAAATCATCTATTGGATCCATGGGTATAGACCTCCGGGTGTCTCATCCATACCCGGGTATGGTAGCTCGTCTTGGCATGTCTTCGGCTTCCACTGAGGCATGTCTTGGACTTCGACTTCGAGAAGCTCTGCTCGATGACCTTGTCGGGGGAGAACGTCTACTGCGACCTGGTGGACGGGAAGTTCTTCCAAGGTCGCGGGAAAGACACCCCCGCGTACCGCCGCTCGCCTGAGGATGTGAAGAGTGACAACCATGTGTAAGGATGGCAAGAACTTGTGAGGTGACACCGGGTGTTCTAGGTGAGAAAGACGCAGATGCGTGTTTGTGTGTGTCTTTGTGCGCAGGGTTGAAATTGTGGTCATGAGCCACGCATGACAAATGAAGCCGATGCTCTGAGCAGCGTGAAGTCCCACGAGGGATAGCGAAACCTTACGGGCTTTCGGATGGGGAATGGACCTCGGAATGTCACTCGCTAGATGTTCTTGGGAACTCCATGGAACACCAAAGCGCTTCGCCACCCCTGAGGCCATGCCCTGGAGAAAGGCCACTACGTGTGGATGAACTCGGCTGACGGCAAGGTCTTCTGCATTCCCGATGGTTATGAAGTGGTGGACAAGTCCTTGGAGGACACCGCCGGGGACCGGGGCGAACACGCGGGGGCTTCACCGGGTGTACCAAACTCCGTCCCACGGACCACCGGAGGAGTTGGTCTGACCAATGGGCAGAGGGGTTTGCCAGGGGGTTATGATGGCGTTGGTGGTTCGTGTCATAAGGGATTTTTGCCGTTTGTCAGCCTCTGATCTGGGGTGAACTTATTGCGGTGACTCTCACAGCACATGCAAACGCTTGTTCTTCTACTCTTGGACTTCAAGCCTTTGAGCTCGCAACTTTGTGATGCAGACATTCCACACGGCTTTCCACACAAAGCTTTCCTTTGCATTTTCCGCATTATCGCCCATGTGTGCAGCAGCATGCCTTAACGTATATAAATGTTGCAGGCATAACTGCAATAACCGTCAACATTGACTGCGGCAACATTATCCTATTTGTGGAAAGATAGTTTTTGCTTTGTGCGCTGCACGCAAACATGACTAATTATGTGATTTCTCACGTGTTCACTCATTTGCTGAGTGAGTGTCCCTGTGCCCAAAAACACACCATCATCACCTTGGCAGGATATCAAGTACAACTTGCATCCCAACTTTGACGAAGAGGAGACGCCAAGTTCCGGCTTTCACTGCGTGTATCTGCCCCAAATCCCTCCGCATCTCCCGCGAGCGGACCGGAAAGTGAGTGCAAAAAAGCACTGCTCTTGAGTTCGACTCTTCCGGAGTTACGAAGTGATGAAAGTGCTCAATTGATACGATGGAAGGACGCATGCACCTTGCCTCCGTAGAATGTAGGCAGATTACATCTCCCTGCAACGAGGAGATCGAGTTCATGTCGACTCGGGTGCGATACTCCAAAGCTCTGGATGGGACAGACTATATCCCTGGCTGCATTGGTCTGCAGCCCAGATGAGTTCTTCATAGGTGGCTCACCATGAGCCAGTGATGTCGCCCAGGTCTCAACAACATCCAGGACTCTGACTACCAGAATGTCATCATCCAGATGCTTTGCACAGTACCTCAGATGAGAAGTAGCTACAGATGAGAAGTTGCCATCGTCAGTTCTGCTGCCCCTCGATTGGCCTGTGAAAACGAAGGACTCCACTCCACTCGAGCTTTGATCTCCATGTTCAGACACGCTCCCGTCCTCCCCACGAACCTCGGGTCTCTAATTTGTATAAGATTAGAGTCGGTCCGTAACATCATCCAGGTTGGTGATCAAGAGAGCGTCCAAGAACCGCGCAGAGAAAGAACACGTAGCTGGCTTCAATCGCAACTGATTTTGAACACACAGACACCCGAACACACAGTTGCTAGACTTGTTGAATGATCATGCAGTGGAATGATTTGGATGGGGAAGGAGGACATTTGCACACTTTTCTGGGGTGGTCCAGTTCTGCTCAAAGCGTATGGAGAAAAGAGGCAAAGATGGCCACACCCATGGGTTCTGGGGTAAGTTTCTCCGGAGAGAAAGGACCACGGCGAAAACGACCAACGAGAAGTCTCTCCAAAACGAGGTCTGGTCGTGATCCAGGATGATGGATCCATCCATCCATCCATCACGGCCAAACAACACACACGGGGGGAAGACCCGCTGAATATGTAGGAGATCTTGGCCAGAGTCACTGCATGTCACCACCAATCCTTCAGCTCACAGCATATCACCAGGACTCCGACGATCTCAAGAACACCACCCTCACGTTTCCCTTTGTTTGGGTGCCAGGTGATCCCGCTGCGCAACTACCTCTTGGGCTACCAGCCCCCCTCGGAGCGGAAGCCGGATCCAGTGCTGGCCACCATTGCGCAGCTCTTCCGGAAGATGTACAATCCCAGGAACTTCAAAGGGTCGGAATGCCCAGAAAGACTCACCGCACCAGGTGAGAGAGAGAGAGAGAGTCAGAGAGTGAGAGTCGGTCAACTGGAGAGGTTCCCGGACACGCGGGAGGATTGGAAGGACGCGGAATGCGGATGATTGGAAGGACGGATTTGGACTTGAGGGAGACAGCAAGACATTTCCAGGTTTTGATTCTTTCTTAGTTGAGGTTGCAATTGGTGGCAGTATTTCTTCTTTCAGCGGAATTTGCCCGTTTTCAGTTGTTTTTACTCCTGCTTGGACTTCAAAATCCCCGTTTTCTCCAGTCTAGCATGATTAGTCCTGCTTGGTGGCTCGCTTGATTTCTCAGCGTGCCCAGGGTGGTGTCACCTCACGAGTTCTATCAGGCGGTGGGCCGTGTCACTCAAAAGAAGCGTGGTGACTCAGTCATCCGCGTCACCCACGTCAGCGGGCCCGGCCGAAGACACCCCCAAAAGCGGTTTGTGTGTCGCGTTTGGAGAGTCACCTCCACTCCGCTCTTCAGAGCGGAGTGTTGGGATGTCAGACTCGCGCCAGCCAGGTCGCGCCAGCTTTGAGATGCCGAAAGCTTTTGAGATGTCGGACTTTCTGGCAGCTTCCATTAGCTCCCCTCCCCCCAAAGTGAACCAATGTGAACCAGCCCTCCACTGATGGAGCGACCAAAAATCGGGAGTGCGCGGCTTTCAGGTTCTATGCAAAGCAGATGGACCCCGTGGCCTTCTTTAGCTGGCTGGAGGGCCAAGTCGCGGTGTCGATTTCCCCCACGTGCGCGGGGCAGGGGGCGAATCTGATGAAGCGTCGAACGCTGGTTCATGAAGGGACCAAAGCATCACTAGTCCCTAGTAAGTCTGACAAAGACAAGTGCAAGCTAAAATTAGGAGGCTTCATTAACTTGAATCATTTTGAATCAACCCCCACAATGTTTCCACAACTTCCACTTGCAAGCACAAGACAAGAGATATTTAAAAAAACAACAAAGATCAAACAAAACAAGAAAACTACTGTAGGTGTATGAGATGTGGTTCAAACATGTTCAAAGCTTCTTACCTTCTAAGGCTGGTGTGTTTTGTTGTTTGGGAACCATCCATTCTGTTGCCTCGGAGTCTTCTCCGCCATGGCCGGGCCCTTTTGGCCCGCCCTCCTCCATCCCCCGTTCACGCCGACGAACTGAACGGAGGTGGACCGGTCCCCGGGACTCCTCCTGCGCCGATCCGAACCGGCGCCCGGCGAGGCTCATGGGCTATCTCCACCGGAAGACCAAGGACAAGAAAGGCCACTCGCTGCTCCACGACGTCTTCCAGGGCGAAGTCCAGGTCGGCGACGAAGTGGTTCGAGTCGTTGTTCGGGGGGAGGCGGAGCCGCGGTGCGTTTGGGTTCGGGAGAGAAGGAGGACTGAAGAGTGTTTTTTTCTCAAACAGTTTACTGTTGGGGTTCTATCTTAGAAACAAAAGAGCTGGCCACACTCACTGGCCGCGCCCCTGAACTCTGTGGCTGGGCTCTGTGGCTGGGCTCCGTGGCTGGGCTCTGTGTCCAGGCCTTGTCCTCCTCTTGTCCTCTGTGGCTGGGCTCTGTTCTGTCCAGGCCTTGTCTCTTGTGGCTGGGCTCTGTGTCCAGGCCTTGTCCTCTTGTCCTCTGTGGCTGGGCCTTGTCCTCTTCTTGTCCTTGTC